GGGGGGGGGAGAAACGGCTGAGCAGACAAAAGGAGGCCAGTCCGTGGGACCGTCGGTCAGTTGGTGCGTCGTCGTGTCGGTGGCCGCCGCCTCCGGGACTACTGGGGCTCAGTCGCCTGGGCAACTTCGCGGCCGCTTTGTGTCACCGAGGCCCTTAAGAAGCAGCATCGCTTTTGACGGTGAGTTGTCGGTTCATCGTGTCCTGCGACCGCCCGTCCCAAAGTGACAGACGCGTCGTGATGGCGACAATTGACTCTTCCCCGCAAAAAGCTGACCAATCTACAACACCCGAAGAAAATTGGAAGAAAAGTTGTGTTTCGAGGACTCGCTTGTTTCATAATTGTCGAGCTTACTTCCATTTCGAGTGAAGGTGTTGCGTGAAGAGATTCGTAGGTTGGTTCCACCACCAGAAGACGACGGCGCAGTCCTCACGACCAGCTGTCGTTGGGCTGTACTGGCAGATTCACGTTGACGCTGTTTCCGAGGCAATCTCTTTGGATTCCGGTGAAAAGGGGATAAACTTTCTTGACTCGTTAGCTTGCATTTGGTTGTGACGATGTTGCCTCACTCTGATGATGTCCGTCGTATGACGCACGAAAATTTGGCATCTTTTCACCGAAATCGAACGAGATTGCCTTGGAAACAGCGTCAGCATGAATGTTGCAGAAGAGCCAATCGACAGCTGGTCGTGAGGACTCCGCCGTCGTCTTCTGGTGGTGGAAGCGACGTTGGAATCTCTTCACTCGAAATGGAAGTAAGCTCAACCAAGACTTGATTAATTTTGAGTTGATAAATGAATCTTCGAAACTGCCAGTACATTTGCTTTGAGATGGTTGCATTTTTTTCCCACAAACAGACGAGCAGACCTGATGGTTCAATTGGTTGTCGCAGAGCCGGGCAGGCGTAGGCGCCAGTTTCGACAGCCCCAGCCGGACTCGAAGCCTGGCTCTGCGAGTGCAGCCTGTGCTGTCGGCACGTCAATCACTACGTCCCACCTGGCAACCAGTGCTCTTGTTCAGCTTACTTCCATTTCGAGTGAAAGTGTTGCATGAAGAGACTCTAATGTCCTGTCGATTGGCTTTAATGGAACAATCTCTTGTTCCAGCATTGTTGAGCGTCGACGAGAATGCTCCAGTCGAGCCAATCGACAACTGGTCGAGAGGAATCTGCCGTCATCTTCTGGTGCAATCCACCAGACACTTTCACACGAAATGGGACTACTCTCAACAGTTGTGAAGCAAGAGATTCCTCGAAAGCAATCTTTCCTTCGCATACGCTGCGTTTTCGTTCATAAATAGGCCGTCATGACGACCGGCAGATCACAGATCGCCGGAGACGTATTCATCCAATTTCGCGTGTGGTCATGACGAGACTGGGGGTTGGTTTCTCCCACAATCATACCAGTTGACATGAATTTCACATGGCCCTGTTTTTTCACAACATTTGTGGCCTAGTGATTGATTAACGTGTCGAGAGCATACGCCGCAGTGTCATGGTTCGAGTCCCGCTGAGGGTTTTGACACGACCTGAGCGAGGTGGAAGCTGACGTGCATCCTGAATGAGAACACTTTTTGGGAGGGCAAATTAATGTGAAATTCACTGGAAACGTCATGACTGCTCATATGCTAGTGGGAAATCTCAACTAACAGTTGCGTCATCACCCGACACGAAATAGGATGAATACAGCTGGGTGCCTTGGCAACAAGTTTATAGACGAAAAATAAGTTAGAAGTGGTCTGACCGCATTTTCGCAACTTGGTCGTGTCGTCAAGGCAAGTCCTTTGCTATAGTGGTTGTCATAGGTCTTAACGTTGAACTCTAGATTTGGTACATTTCTAGACAGCACTTGTCTATTTGACGAGTTGCAGCTTGATGCTGAGAATGGCAAGATTCGCTGACGCTGGCGACGAAACGTCTTTGAATGTGCCAAGTAATAAAGGCTCCGACGGTGGGACTAATGGCGACTCAACAACACTACAACATGACCAAGTTGCGAAAACAAGGTCAGATCACTGGTACACACCGAAAAGATACTGCCACAACCTCTAGTTGTTCATATCTACGAAAAATAGGTTATTTAGTTGATTGATTAGTGGAAAATCCCACCATAGTTATGTGATATGTGAAAGAGCTAGAAAATGTTCAACTGGGTCTTGACGTCTCCAAATTATTAATGAAATGTATTCATTCTATTTCATTTAAAGTGATGACGGAGTGGTAGTTGAATTTTCACACAAACACATCCGCGGACCTCACGTTTTTATCGACTTTCACATCGCTTTGCTTTCACAAACTGTGTTCTCACCCAGGCAGTAGCTGACTGCAGTTTCCACCCAAGCAGGAACCGAACCATGCCAGTACAGCGTATAATTTCGCCACACTGCCACATGTAACCATGGGCATTTTCTCATATTACATTCTGTGATGTGATTGTCGAAGAAGCAAAGTTGTGTTTGCTACAGCAATCGACCAGATTGGTTGATGTGAAGACTTCCATTTTGTATGGAAGTAGATAATGAAGAGACTCGTGGGTCAATCTTACCAAAAGACGTCGGCTGATTGGCGCTGTACTGCAGCCAGTTGGCGTTAAAATGACGCTCGGGTTGATGCAGCCCACGAGCCATCCTCCAACATTTCGTGCAAAGATCGGCTGACATTTCTTTCGTCATATCATTGGATGAACATCGTCAGAGTTGGGGCTTATTCTTGCAAAAGCCTCAAGTTAACATCAAGTCAAGAGTCAATCAGCTCGTGTTTGCCGGAAATGTTGGAGGATGGCTTGTGGACTGGACCAACCTGAATGTGGTTTTAATGCCAAACGGCTGCAGTCCACTCCTGCCTGGATGAGAACACCGTTTGGGAAAGCGAGGCGATGTGAAATTCGATAAAAACGTAAGGTCCGCTCACATGTCTGTTGGAAAATTCAACGACCAGTCCCTCATCACCTTAAATGGAATAGAATGAATACATTTCATTAATCATTTGGAGACGTCAAGACCCAGTTGAACATTTTCGAAAACCACGAGAATCTAGCTCTTTCCCATATCACATGATTATGATGGAATTTTTCACGAAGCAATCGACCAAATAACTTATTTTGTGTAGATATGAACAACAAGGGATTGTGGCCGCTATTTTGGTAGCAGTCTCCTTTCGATGTATAGGAATGGTCTGACCTCATTTTCGCAACTTGGTCATGTTGCCGTACCATCGAAGGGGCTGATGAGATCCAGGCGATGGAATTCCATGGCATCGTTAGACCTATTCGTATCATTTTGGGAAAATGCATCACCTCATGATTTCTCTTGTGACTGCAGCCTTTTTTTTGAGATATATTGATGGTATTGAAACACACTATTAATGAATAAATCATTACTTAATAATAATCAATACAATTTTTCAAGCGAACTTTTTACTATCTAGTCCCTGTGATTGTAATCTGCAAGATTCAGACTTTTTATCAACAATGATTTCAACCAAAGCGAGAATTCAATGAAATTCAGGCGAAAACTCGCATTTGCTGGCTTACTATGCACAGTAAATGCGAATAAAATGTGGATTTCGAGAAAGATCTTGTTTCACAATCGTTTAGCTTACTTCCATTTCGAGTGAAAGTATTTGGTGAAGAGATTCGAAGCTTGATCCAACCAGAAGACGACGGCAAATTCCTATTGACCATCCGTCGATTGGCTTTACTAGAACATTCTTGTCGACGCTGTTTCCGAGGAAATCTCATTCGATTCCGCTGAAAACGAGCTAAGCTTTTGTACGTCACACGACGAACATCATCAGAGCAAGGTATCACCCTTACAACCAAATTCAAGCTAAAGAGGAAAGAAAACTCATCGGCTCATATGTAAATTGCTGTATGTATACTCTATGCCTGACCTCTTTGATGAGATATAAAGTGTTTTTGGTTAGTTCCAGTCAAATGTCAACCTCAAAGCATGTGAGTGTGTCTATCTCTGTATGTGTTTGCATGTATACAAGCCAGCAGTGAGGGATGAATGTAGTTAAGACAGCAAAAGTAGCGTCTGCTCTTGGCCATCAAGGTCTGGTGACCACCATCACCTTCTTTCTATACATACATGTTTTAACCATCACTCCAATTGTGTAATGCCAGGCAAACGTATGGTTGTGCTGATGAGCTTTTTGTCTTCATGCGAGTGAGAAAG